TGCTTCTTCCTCAAATATAACTCATTTTTTTAATTTGTAGATTTTTTTGGTGTGTATATCATACAGAACATCCCAAACAATCTTATTCATCTATATACCCACTACCCAAATCGCACCCTCCCATAACCCCCCCACCCCGTGCACTGGAGCCCATGTACGCTGTCATCCCTGCTACTGTTTGCTGTATCGTCGGTGCCCCCAGCCGTTCCCCAGTGCTTGTTCATCCACTGAATCTACTCAGCCTATCTAGAGTTCCTTGTTTTAAGAAGATCAGCTGTTCCTCATCTAATAGCAATCAGTTGTCAATATTCCTTTAAATACCATTGTGGTCTGCTATTCATTTTTCCACTTCTATGCTGGGTTCCTGTCTGGAGTCTCTTGGGCCACCCTGTCCAACAACTCAAAGGAAGATATCTCCTGTTTGGCATTGTTTCTTGTCAGGTAGCCTTTAGCTATACACATGAACTCTTAAATTGTATCAACCCCTTTATTCTTTGGTTATACATTCCTTTCTGGGGTGTTTAAGACCATACACTTGGCCCACATAAAAGAATTTATTTTTATTCTTAAGGCCATTTGAGGAGCTGTTCCTCATGGGTTACATGGGCTTTGGAGGAGCCCCTGGCTCCTTTCTTTTACCAGTTCCGTCTATGTGAAGATAAGTCAAAGGTCCTGCTCAACCATGGCTGGCTTTGCTTCGAAGCAGGGAGGAAATGTTTTCTCTGTGTTTACCCTCCTCTTAGTAGACTGGATACTGGTTCAGGTCCATCTGGTGGGGTCTTTATGGCCTCCTTGATCAAGAGGACAGGTGAATCACCACAGTTACAGGAACTTTTGAGTGATGCTCATAGTCCCTTGGAACTTATTTGTCCTAGGAAGGCAAGGAGCAAAAGCTGTGCTTTACGTCTGTCTGACCTAATTAGTATAGGACTCAAAGTTTGGCTGTTAAACACCCAAGGAGGTTAGTTCCACCAGACTGACTTGACAAAAATAAGCCCTCTTTTAATTAGCAGTCCCAGAGCCAATTTCAAGTCTCTGTTCCTCAGGCTATAGATGAAGGGGTTCAGCATGGGTGTTACTACTGCATACATCACTGAAGCAATTACATCCTTGACTTTGGAATTGTTTGAGGAAGGAATAAAATAAATGATTGCAAGAGTCCCATAGTACAAAAACACCACAGAGAGATGGGAACCACAGGTGGACAGAACTTTGCAGATCTTCTTTGTGGAGGGGACTTTTAGGACAGTAAAACCAATACATATATAAGAGCCCAAAATAGTACCCAGGGGCAGGAGAGTCAACACACCTCCCTCAGTGAAGATGACCAGCTCAAAAGGTACGTACATAGGTACTTGATAGACTGTAGACACAATGGGACTAAGTAGACAGATGAGAGATGATAGAGAAATATTTGGTAGGTGAAAGGGTAGGTGGGTGACCGAGAGGATAAAGTTTTCATGACAGAATATCATGTACAGAACTTTGCAGATCTTCTTAGACCAGGGGACCTTCAGGACAGTAAAACCAATAGAGATGTAAGAGCCCAAAATAGTACACTGTGGTGTACCTTGGTGGAGATGACTATCTCATTCAGGGAGGTATCTGAGCTGGAAAAATTTAGGAGTTCATTGAGATCACAGAAAATGTGGGAGAGAGTGTTGTCAGCACAGGACAGGCAAGACAGGAACAGGGTATGCATCAGGTCACACATACAAGAGAGGAACCAAGATCCAGACACCAATAAGTCACACAGGTCCTTGCTCATGACAATCATGCAGTACAGTGGGTGGCAGATGGCCACATACCTGTCATATGCCATCACTCCAAGAAGGAAGTTGTCAACAGCTAAAAAGAGCAAGAAAAAATAAATCTGAGTAATGCACCCCTCATAAGGGATGGACAGGTGCTGAGTCTGCATGTTGCTGAGCATCTTTGGGACAGTGGCAGATGATAAGGAGATGTCAGAGAAGGCCAGGTGGCACAGGAAGAAGTACATGGGGGTGTGGAGGCGAGAGTCCAGCCTGATGAGCAGGATGATGAGCAGGTTCCCCAGCACCGTGGTCAGGTACATGGCCAGGAACAGGGTGAAGAAGGTGTCCTGCTGCTCTGGCTGGATGGGGAGCCCCAGGAGGATGAACTCAGGCACACTGCTCTGGTTCCCCCTCCTCATGTTCCTCTTCCTGCTGGGAAAGAAGAGAGAAGAAACTGTTAGAGTCCTGAGGTCCTCACCAAGTGGACCTAACATGCATGCAGTTTCCAGGGAACTGCATCAAAATTCAGACAAGCTGCAATTTTGCAGTCTGAATCCCAAATTGGCTTCAAATTGAACATGGGATATTTCCAATGTTAACAAGATTTCCTTTGAGAAAGAATGAAATCTGTCCACTTATTTCACATATGGTCTAAACAGTATTTTCAGCACTGGAAACATATCAGATAATAAAATTCCTCTTGGATACACATCCTATAAGCATTTAACAGAATCCTGAACCATAGCTACAACCTTCTTACCGGGCGGCTTAAGATGGTCCCTGCCTAGGAAGTTTACTTCTTCAGTTTCCTTGGGCCACTTTATTTGCATTTATCTAAGTTCTTTCTACAAATTAATAACCCTGTTATCTATGTATACAGATTTGAGGGAAATCTATGTTAATCCATGTAATAATCTTATCACAGATCCCTTTACATGGTCATATTCACCCATGATAAATACAATAGGACAAGTTCAAGAGAAAATCTGGTATCAAACTCCAGAAACTCAGAAAAACAGCAAAGTGAGGTAGGCAGTAAACCAGATCCAGTTTTGACATTAAACAAAATCATTGACCTAGAGTTTCACAGTCCCTGAGAATTCAGTAACACACATACTAGTCTGTATGGATAGGATTTAAATCCTTAACACCAGAAATGACCATAGAAACATTTTCTCTTCATCAAGCCTAACTCTGTCCTCTCTCCCTCTCTCTTTCCTCTCCGATCTCTCTCTTCTATCCCTATCTCCCTTCTCCCTATCTCCTTCCTCTTTCCTTCTTTTCTCCTTCCATCCTTCCTCTGCTCTCCTCACCTCTATCTCCATCACAAGACAAAACAAGGATGTACACACCATAACAGACTTAAGATTTTGCCCCAGGAAATGTCCCTTATCTGAATATTTACTATGCTATAGGATTTTGAGGATCTATTCAATTCATAGTAGGTTCATGATCATCTAATCATGACCAGTTCTGAAAATTCACCACAGCATTGATCATAATTGTTACTGAATGAGCTCCTACTACAATAAAGGCATTAATAGTATTGTATTACCAAATTTAGACATCTAAATTTAAAAATGAAATCTCAGGTTTAGTAAGAAATTAGTCCAAATCAATAAATTCCTGATGATGTCAGTATGACAGAATGCCCTGCTTGTCACCATTGAACTGGCCTAAAATGTCATTCATTTGTTAGAAAATCCAGAATAGGTGTGGTCTCGCAAACCTGCAATCCCAGCACTTAAGGAGGCAAAGGAAGGAGGATTATGAGTTTGAGTCTGGCATCAAGTATATACTGAGTTCTGGCTCAGCCTAGGCAATATAAAAAATGTTACTTCATAGAAACAGAGAGAGAAAGAGAAAGAGAGAGAGAGTGAGAGAGAAATAGATGATAAAAATACATGAATGAAATTCTAAAAGAATTAAACACTTAATATTTTATTTTTCTTTTATGTGATTGAGTATATTGCCTGCATGTAGGTAAGCAAACCTGTGCCATACAATGTCTGCAGAGGTAAGAAGAGGGTGTTGAATCCCCCTGGATTTGGAATTCTGGATCATTGTTAGCCACCACATGGATACTGGGACGCAAACCTTGATCCTCTGCCAGAGTAGCCAGGGCTCTTTACTGCTGACGCATCTCTCCAGGTCTTCAATAAAAATATTTTATAGAAAGGAAGTGCTCAGCCTTATGTGAAACTATTTCATGGTTTCAAAGTTATACCATGCCACCTGTTTGATTAACTACTAATATTCATGTGTCACATGACCTATAGCTTACTATGTATGCTCATGTTCTGCTACTGAGAGTAGTAGGTGATGCTTGGTAATAGCCATGTCTACACAACAGGGCTGCATCAAGCTTTTTCTGGGAAAACCAAAATTCACAGTCAAATTATACATTCAATTTGCAAGGAACATTTATGTGATTTAATTCCAACATTCAGCAAACATTTACTGAGTGCCTCTAAAACAAAAATTCCAGTAGTTGTATTTTTTTCATGTTACTAGTATGAAAACAGCAGTGTGAAACCACACTGAAGGCCTCATAGTACTCAGTGATTCCTGATCCTGAACATAGGATCCCTAAGAGGTTTTTGCCATAGAGATTGACACCTTATCTAGTCAGAATTAAATCACTGTTGGAGAACACACACATAGTCCAGGAAATGGGATCCATGGAATGACAAGGCACGGGCACCTGGTAATAAGCCACTTTAAGAAGAGAGAGGAGCAGAGGGGGTAAGCAATCATGTCATTGGGAAGAGGAAGGGCATAGTAACAAACCTGTAACTGAGACCTGATAACCCACTGGCATTTACTAAATCGAGGTTTTTGCAATTCTAGTATCTCTAGAAGAAAATCCAGAAGTTAGAGGTCAAATAAGTGCTCAGCTTTAATGGCTGGCTGAGCAAAAGATGTCCTGATTCAAACCACGCTCAATGTGAGGGTGTCAAATCCTAACCAGTAGATGAACAGGGAGGCTTCATCCTCTGTGAATGGAACAGCTGGACACACATTCAAAAATGAAGAAGGGAAGGAGCGAGGTCAAGTTTGACACATGGTATTTAAATGTCCGCTTCCTCTGTTCTTGCCAAAACAATCTCTCTTGAATAATTAAGAACAGAGTCACAAGTTGAGAATGTCTCATTTGTTGCATGCTTATAACACAACACATGTGGGGATAAACCTTTAGTCTTAGTATATTTCACAATTCAGGCTTCTGACCTTTACAGAGTTCAACCCAATGTCATAAAGCTATGAAGAGCCAAGATTAAGGATTTGAACAAAGATGTGTGTGACAGCATAAGCATTTAGTCACTGTCATAGTCCCAAGAACAGAAACATGGCACTGTTGAGTTAATGAGGGTCCACACATAACTTTGATGTCGTGAAGTCCTATGTGCAAATAGATGTTCATTTAGCTTAAGGAGGATTCTGCTATGAGCTGCCTGACATAAGAGGAGATAAGACGTGAGGGGAGAATACAGCTGTGAGTCTGTTTCCCCAACATACAAAATTCCCATGTATAAAAAAGCACACATTAGCATTCATTAACTTTAGCTTCAATCTACAACCATGCTAGATTAAAATATAAGTATATTACATAAAAACACCTGAATATAGTCACATGTGCATACAAGCAATCATGGATCTCTCAGGTCAATAGTCATTCTTTTATGAACTTTACTCAGTCTAGATAGAAACAGAGATTGTGACACTTTTAGAAAAAAATATATACACACTAATAAGAACTGCCCCACACATCACTGAACATGAATATCACACCCAGTCATACACATACATACATAAAAACATAGTATATACACAGAGATACTCATGCAGCTATGAAGTCAAACAGAGCATTAACATTAAACCATCACAGAAATGTCCTATCAAGAAAAGATAATTTTCAGATCCCTATATTCTACACCTGTATTTCTTACAAGAAGAAGGGACTATTAGTTAATTCCTTACTAAATACACTATATTAATCCAAAAACACACAATATGTGTTCTCATCATAAACATACAATCCAGTACCAGGAAATAATTCTTCTTCTGACGTGTGACAAATCTTGATGAGCTCCAGTATCTTCTGTTCAAGGCTATTCCCTGAGCCTTCAATTTCCCTTCATAAAGAAGGTATCAAAAAACAGGAAGACATTTTTCCAAAGGTCTGCTCAATGTTCATGTCTGTTTTCAAGCAGCAGAAAAGTAGACAAGATTTGCATCTACCAACAAGATTAACGTCTGGAGGAAACAGCCCGAATGCCTAGTGAGAAAATGAGCCAGCATGGAGTGTCCAATTTCCTGCACCATGCTTGGTAGGAGAATCTGTGAAGGGACTAGATGGGCTGAGCCACAAGAGACATGGGAGACAGTGTGCCTGACCTTGATGCTGGTGTCATGAGATACACCAGTGATCCTAATCATTGTGGCCTCTGATGTAACAAAGCATGGCCTGAAGAAATCACTGTCCCCAGACAACATGAGACATCCCCTCACAGCCTCCCAAAACACACATTCCAGCCTCTTCTTCAACTCATAGCTCATTGCTAAATGAGAGGTCTCCACATTCCCCTGAGATGCTCCACAGAGCAGGTCCTAGGGCTTCTTCAGGAGGAAGAGTGATGAGACTGAGTCCAAGGTGATTAATCGCTGACTAGAGAGCAGTACCAGCCGTGCCCCTTATTCACAATATCTCTAACCCAGGGCTTAAGTTCGAAGCTAATTAATAACACAAAACATGACAGGATAAAATTCATGTGCAAATGTAAGTACATAAAAAAGTTCAGAATGTTCATGCACAGTAAGGGTGGCAGATAAACAAGTTGGATCTTTAATAAAAGTGTTAGAAACAAAACTACTAAAAGTGATACCAGTAGGTTGGCCGAGTAGTTCTCCAGATTTATATTCCCTCCAAAAAATCCAATAATCAACTATGTAAAGATAAGAATGGTAAGTATTCTAGAAATGGAGAGTAAAGCGGAGACATCCACTCTGGGCCATAAGTGGAAAAGTCAGGATAAAGAGTAAAAAGAATGGATCTGTCTAATTGCATTTCACCTCCCCTAAGTCAGTAGCCTCCACGATTCAGAAGTGAGCTGAAGGGGTAGAGAGATTGCTCAGTGGTTAAGAGCCTTAACTGTTCTTGCAGAGGACCTTGGTTTGATTCTGAACACCTACATGGTGGCTAAGAACCATCCTTAACTCCAGTTCCAGGGGAATCCAACAGCCTCTTCCGACCTCTGCAGCCTTTCATGACATGGGTGCACTTTGCACTTATATACATGCAGGCAATTTGCTCATACACATAAAATAAAAATAACAAATGAAATATTTTAAGAGAGCTAAAGACAGACATTTTTCCTCCTTACAGTTTGGAGGCCCTTCATGCAATGCTCATTCAATC